TGATCCATACAGGGGAGAAATGGTTTAAATGCATGGAGTGTGGAAAGCCATTTAATCGTCGCAGTGATCTTAAAAGGCACAAAATGATCCACACAGGGGAGAAGCCATTTAAATGCATGGAGTGTGGAAAGACGTTTACTCATGGGAGTGATCTTAAAAGTCACAAAAAGATCCACTCCGGAGAGAAACCATTTAAATGCATAGAGTGTGGAAAGGGCTTTGCTCGAAGAGCTCATCTTATTTCCCATAAGATGATCCACACAGGAGAGAAACCATATAAATGCATGGAGTGTGGAAAGACCTTTGCTCAGGACAGTGATGTTAAAAAGCACAAAATGATTCACACAGGGGAGAAGCCGTTTAAATGCATGGAGTGTGGAAAGTCGTTTACTCGTGGTAGTGGACTTAGAAAACACAAAAAGATCCACTCAAGAGAGAAACCATATAAATGCATGGAGTGTGGAAAGACCTTTGCTGAAAGAAGTAATCTTATTTGCCATAAGATGATCCACACAGGGGAGAAGCCCTTTAAATGCATGGAATGTGGAAAGACATTTACTCGTGGCAGTGGCCTTAGAAGCCACAAAAAGATCCATTCAGGAGAGAAACCATTTAAATGCATGGAATGTGGAAAGGGTTTTGCTCAGAATGGTCATCTTACTTCTCATAAAAGAATCCATACTCAGGAGAAACTATATAGCAATAGCAATTCTACTTAAGGGGGGGAGCACTGCAGGAGGGGCCGATTGGGATATCTGACAAGGTGAGCACGTGGCGACCCAGCTTTCAATGTCTTTGTCTATGCCCGGCTACCAGATGTAACTTCTCGCTAGGGCCTTCATTTTCACTATTCCTGGGTGCCCCTCATGCAATAATCCCAGGATTCTTTCTCATAATAGATTTGGCACCACCACTCTTTCTCCCCACAGCAAATATCCCCTTAATGCTGATAGTTCCAATTGTTTGTCTTTGAATGGTTTGAATTGTTCCCTTTACAACTTGTCCCGCCACCCCTGCCATACCCAGTTCAAAACTCGCGCCAACGTTTTGTCTTTTGTGGTGAACCTTGTGATGTCCGCCACTGTCACCAAATTTGGCTTGAAACATTCTACAAGGAATATGGTAGGCGCGGGGGCAGGGTCCTCCACTAGATCTGGTAGGTGGCATCGGCTGAGTGCATCGGCATGCGGAATGCTCTTTCTAGGTATGTGCAGCAGGCAGTAGTTATACATTGCTAGGAAAACTGTCCATTTAGCATTCTTGGTGATAAAATGTTTGGTGCGGGTTTGTCTTCGGCTGAGATTATTACATCGTCAAAATACGGAATTACCCCCGGCAGACCTTGTAGCAGTCTTTCCATTATGCTCTGGAAGAGGCGGAGAGCTATGCTAACCCCAAATTGTAGCCGGTTGCACCTAAGCACGTCCTTATGTGTTACGATCATTTGGGCTTCGGCAGTGGTTGCATCCACAGGCAATTGTTGATATGTTTGTGCTAGGTCTAGCTTAGCAAAAATTCTGCCCTGGCCCAACAAATGTAACAGGTGCTGGACTACTGGCACCAGATATGCACTCTGTTGTAGGGCATGGTTGAGGGTACTCTTGTAGTCCCCTCAGATTCTGATAGACCTATCGGGTTTCACAGGGGTCACTATAGATGTCCCCCACTTCGCGTGGTCTACCGGTTCAAGAATGCCTTGAGCTACCAGTTTATTTAATTGCTCTTCAGCTTTTGGATGGAGAGCAAATGGGACTTTCTGGGATTTGAGACGGATAGGGGCTATGTTGGGATGTAGGCTAAAACTTATTGGGGTCCCCTTATACTTGCCCAATTCGCTGCTAAAAACATCCCGGAATTCTTTTTCTAAAACATCCAAATCTTCTCCGCTGCTTGCTCCAGTTATCGCTGTTGTGTGGATACCAGTGAGGCTGATTTGTAGCAGCACGAACCACTCTCTCCCAAGGAGGCTGGGTGGGCCCCAGTCCACGATAGTCAGAGGTAGGGATCCTTTAAACTCCCTGTATTCCACATGGCAGATCTTCTTTCCCAGGACTGGCATTTCATAGCCCTGGTATTCCTTTAATATTATTTGTTGTGGCTGGAGTTGATTTCGGCGGATCGCAGGGTTGATTTTCTGGAGTGCTGTCCAGGATATCATTAATATATATGATCCTGAGTCCACTTCCATCGGCCACATCTTTCCATCAATCTTCACTTCTGTGAGGAATTTGTCGCTTTCCATAGTACCTGTGTGTGTCACACAAGTGTGATTGTAGCCACCTATTGTGTGGTGTGTTTCTTCTTCCCAGCTGCCATCTTGTCTTTTAAATTTTGCACCAAACTTCTGGCTCTTGTAATGTTTGTTCGGGGAGTATGTTCTTCGGCTCAGTGTGTCAGCTGGTTGGCTGGCTCTGCAGGCGTCTGCAATGTGGCCTTTTCTCTCGCATTGCCTGCAGATTGCTTCTTTAAAATGGCAGGTGGAGCGAGGGTGGTTTCCCTGGCAGCTTCCACATGGTTTGCTCCCCTTTCCGTTTTCGGATTTACTGTTTTTTTCCTGATGAACCTCCTCCTTTTCGCTGTTGCTGCTTTCGGAGCCGGATGGACTATGCAAGGTCCTTCTTGCCACTTGGGTGGTGTGAACCTTGCTATGTCCTTTGACTCGGATGGCTGAGGATTCAGAGGTTTCGGCTGCTTTTGCTTCTTCCAGTGCTTGCTTGAAGGAGATGTCCTCTCTAGCGAAAAGTCTCTTCTGCAGTGTTAAATCCCTAAGTCCAAGGACTAAACGATACTGGATAATTTCTTCAATGTTCGAGGACTTGCAATTTTTTGACAATTTTCTTAATCCAGCTACGAAGTCACTTATACTTTCCCCTTCTTTTTGGATTCGGGTACAGAAGTCGTTTCAGTTTGCCATGTACAATGGGGTAGGGTCAAAATGCCCTTTCAATGCCTGTTGCAGTTCATTCCAGGAGACATTTTCCAAATCTTCTGTAATGAGGGCGTCTGCTAGTTCATAGAGTTCTGAATCACAATAGGTCAAGAAGTATGCCTTCTTCCTTTTGTCAGATTCTGTTTTCATCCCATTCATCACCAAACTCTGGTTGAATCTTCCCACATACGAAGACCACTTCTCTTTGTCTGGGTTGAATGGAATGGATAGGGGTCGATAGGCCATGTTGGTTCGCTGTTGGTCTAAATGGTCAGCTGGAAAATGGCCGCGGTGCCCCATGAGGTCCTTTGTCTTCCTTAGTATCCCACCTTCGTCGCCAGTGTTAGATATGTGTAGCAAGGAAGGAATGGACCCAGCAGTGTAGAGAACTCTTTATTTACAAATGGGTTCAAAAAGCAACAATTGTGGCCAGCGCCGGCTTTTTATAGTCGGCGCTGTCCAATACTTCAGCCGCTGATGGATCTCCGATATTCCCGCCAGTGGCTGAAACCAATAAGTGGAGTCTGAGATCAGACTCCACTTTGCATCTGACTTGGATGACGTGGTATATGTAGATGTAACATCATGCATATTTAACACGGATAAACTTAATAAAAAATACAAATAAAAAGCCTATTGTTTTAGGGGCATTACTTGTTCCACAGCCAAAATAGGCCAATTTCTGGAGAAAAACTCTGCTCTGTATCTGCACTTTTATACTGGCAAAATTTCTTCCAAAACGTTACTTGACATATTTTTCTGCTGAAAGAGACCTTTAAAATTATGGTAAATATGCAGAAGTAACAGAAGTAAGAAAGGAGCTGAAAGCGGAGGAGAAACTAGGAAAAGGCCACAGAAAGAAAAAGGGTGATCCCTTCCCATTTGGGGCCGAGGGGCGGCGAATCGAAAGGAGCCGCTTCGTCCTGACGTTCCGAGCAAGAGAGACGCGGGTTTC